ACAACTTAATAAAATAAACAATGCAAAGATAAAATAGCATCGTAGACAGAGTTCAAGCTAGAGAAAGAGGAAAAGATATTGCCTCAGTCATACTCAGCACAGAGTGGCGAGATGTTATAGAGAAGGTGAGACAAAAGAAACTTGCAAGTTTTTTTCCTTGATTTTTTAGTCTGAGTCCCTGGTACAGAACATATGAAAGAGATGTGACATTTACAGAGATGGGGCCTGAGACTTTGAGGAATAATGTTAATTCACAGACACAGGAAGTACCAACAAGATGAATTTAAAAGATAAATCGACACTGATTGTTATAGTGGCTAGACTTAGATCGCTACCAACAATGTATTAGGTTCTTTTCCCCCAAAAATCTTTGCCAGCATTTGTTGTTGTTTTCTTGACAATGACTTTTTTAACGAGTGAGATGGATTCTTCCATGTTATTTTGATTTGCATTTCTCAAGATTTCTTCAACAAACTAAAAGATCTAACAGCATATGACCTTGCTGTACCGCTCTTAGGCATAGCTAAAGCACTGTAAATCAACACACAAGAGAGATGCTTGTTTACCTGTGTTTGTAGCAGCAGTGTTTGCAAGAACTAAGATATGGGAACAGCCTAGGTACCCAACAACTGATAACTGGATAAAGACAATGTGTGGCAAATATACATAATAGAGAATTATTAAGGCATAAAGAAGGAAATCATGGCATTTGCAGAACAGCAGATGGAACTGATCATCACATTAAGCCAGACACACCAAGTTGAAAATGTTTTATATTTCAACTATGTACTTCCCAACTTCCAAGATTAAAATAAGGTCTTTATTATCAGAAATTAGAAGTATTTTCCCCTCTGGCTTACTGATCTTCCTCTTGTTTCTTCATCTTGGAAAAGTGGAATTTGTTTTGCAACCAAAAACCTAGGAATAGACTTGACTTATTCTCAGTGTTGCCCCAATTTCTTGGTCAGGGCCTTAAATTCTCTTTCTTTACTACTTACATTCTCTGGCCTACTCAGTTTATCACCCTAGACATATATGAAGATTATAGCTATCAAGGTTTTGCATGTAGCAAGGCTTTTAGAAGACAAAACATCTAGTTCCACCTCTGGAGTTCTGCTGGAGTTCTGAAGTTTTGTGTCTGTAACAAGTGGCGGAGTAAGGCTGGTTTTGTTGACATGGAAACTACATTTTGCAAACAATTGCACACAACAGCATCACCACCCTGATGTACCTCACAATTTCCTGTATTTAGCCTTTAGGATGAAAAATTCAGGAAGTGGTCCTATTTCCACAGTGTCAAGTTTCTTATTGGCAATTTCAAGAGATCACCACAATGTCTCACCTTTCTTCCCCTTCCCATATATATTAGTCCAACAGTAAATAAATAACAGTAATAAAAAGAAACTGTTGAGCTCTGTAGATAAAGTGTTACACAGTAGATATAAAGTATATTGAATTAATAAACTCGATTCAACTTGAGGATAAAGGTGCTAGGCACACAAATATAATTCACTACTGGGTTTATGTTATTCTCTTCTGGCCTTATACAATTTCCTATCCTTTCAAAGTATAGGCCTTTCAAATATTTATCAAATCTGTTTTTATTTTAAAGAAGTGTGTGAAGCCATCTATCTTTGAGATGAATAAATAAACCCTCCTGTGTGTTTGGGAATATTACCTTATCTTTATGAGTGTTCCAGAGTTGCTTGCAGATATGATTTCACATCATTCTTAACAACAACCCTAGGAGAAGATTAGGGAGAAAAAGCGCACAAAACATCCTGGTTCACTGTGAGAAAAATGACCAGAGAATTCAATTGCTCATCCAAGGACAAGGACTCAGTCAGGTTGGACTCAAGTGAGACTTCTGTACCAAAAGCCATATTTCTTTCCATTCAGGATGGTAATGAATAATGGGTAAAGAGCTTCAGAGACCATTTAGTCCTGGTTTCTCATAAAGATGCAAGTGTCTTGCTTGATGGTCTTTGTATACATATCAGTATCTATTGTCAAGTCACCTGACTTTTCAGGAAAAGATAAAAACGCCCTTGTTGTGATATCCTGCAACTTTAGAAGATTTACATTTATTCTTTTATTAGCATACACGAATGTATTAGGGTTGAAAAGTTGTCAACTCATGGAAAGTTGGGATGGCTTGGCCACCGATGGCTTTTCTTGGCCCGATGATGGTTTTCAGTGTCACTGCTTTCTGACATTGATTTGTTCTTCTAGTTGAGCTGAGGAAATTCAATAGTTTCAACCTTTACTCTCATCTTTTGGAGAAGGCACCCAGAGAGTACAAGCTCTCCTTGCCACCATTAGGATCTCCTGTGATGGTAAGGCTTTTGTATCATCAAAGGCCTTCAAAATGAATTTGTATATTTGCTACAATGTATTTTACATGATTTATGTAAACAACAGTTTTGGTTTTGGTGTGGGAAAATTGTTCTAAGAATGTGGATTCCTTTGGGTTTTGTCCCACGATAGGGGAGAGAATTTGTTCAGAGACCATAGCCTGTATAACCCAGGTATAATTTCCCTACATTTGATAGATGCATTGTAAACAAAAACAAAAACAAAAACAAAACTCCAAAACTTATCACCCTGGAGAGATACATGAGAAGATGCATTTAACTTGACAGTAAAAAAACAAACAAACCTGTACTTGTCCACTGAAATTTGATTACTCTAAGGATTACCTCTGAGCTTGTAGTTATAGGTCTTTAAAATGACAATTTCATGAAGATTGAGAACTTAAAAAAAAAGGCCATACTAAGTGTCACAGAATAGATTTTTACAAAGCGTATTTCATTTAGTTTGTGAATAGTTAAGGATCTTTCTTTCACAGTAGTAAATATTAAAGGGCTTGTAGACTGATTTGCTCCAGGCTAAGATGTGCATGAGTCTGCCCGTGAATGTAGGTGGATTTTTAATTAAACCAGATTGCTACCTGCTAGTCCTTAACAGCCTTTATCCCTCTGGTATCTTCGTTATTTGCTGCCCCTAAGTGGCTTCTGTAAATATTTGGATTTGGAACTCCTGGGATAGAGAGGGAAGATCATGTTTTTAGGAGTAATGAAGTAAATTTAGATGATGTGATTATTATTCCTCTAGGGAATAGCTACAACAAATACCCTTTAGGAGTTTTAGAATTTTCTCTTGTGTGTGTTTTTTTTTAATCAAAAAGTGGTCTTTCTGATTTAATATCTACCAAACACCTGTGTGTGTGTGTGTGTGTGTGTGTGTGTGTGTGTGTGTGTGTGTGTGTAAATAGGACTTTCAAGGGCATTTTTATTGACTATGCTCACAATGAAGTCATATATATCTGTTTTGAAAGATTAGAGATGTTCAGAGTAGAGATTTGGGGAAGTGAGTGATAAAAATATTTGCTGTCAAGAGTTTTACATTTTGTGGGTCTGACATATTAACTGTAGATATGGGTGCATGATTTTATGCTTTTTTTTTTCTTTTGGATTTTGTGTAGGTAAGCCCCAAACACTAGGAAGCTTGTCTCAAAGACACTGTGTATCTCTAAAATGATACTGTGTGTTTGTTGTGTAGCAGCCCCATTGTTTTGGCTAAATGAAATGAGATTCAGTAATTTTTCATTGTTATATTTTAATCCAAGTCACCCCATGGTTTAAGGCATTACACACAGATTTTGTTGTCTTGATTATCCAAAGTCAGTCGTGGTAGTACAAAATGCTTTCAAGTGAATGGTAGGCAAAGCCTGTGACCCCTGGGCAAAGCCCTTGACTTCTCTGAGATTATATATGCATATGTTATGTATGTTATAATCATATAATTTTAAGATATATAAATGCAAAACAGACTAGCAACATTCCTTTCTACGAGAATTTATTAAGGCAAGATATGCAAAACACTATCCTCTCACGTTTCCCCATCCCATGGCCTGTCTTGGCCCGATGACCACTTGTGACTTATCTGGACCAAGGTAACAGCCATTCACCATTACCTATACAGAGTCCCCCATTGTCCCAACCCACCCCGCCCAGCGCCACGCCCACCCAGCGCCACGCCCCTCATTGCCACACCCTTCCCAGTGCCACACCCCCTTTGCTACTCCCAGCCCCTTTCAGTGGCCTGCCTGTCTCCCCTGCCTGGCTGGAGCTAAATGGTTAAGAAGCCAGTAGGATCTGTCTGTGCTACAGCTCTTCCCCAGCTCTCGGTTGCCCTTTGAACTCCGCCTAGAAGTGTTTGTATGGTGAGGCGCCCCTCTGCCTGGACGCAGTTACCGCCGAAGCTTGGCTGCCTTTCTAATGAGGACCCCCTTTACTCTTCCCCCTCTTCCTCACTCAAGCTGGACTTGCAGCTCTCGCCAGATCCTTACCCGGCTCACACCTCTTCTGACCTCAGAGTTCTACTCCTGAGGCCCTTCCCAGCTTCTTTTTCTTTTTTGTTTTTTTTCTGACTTTCTGCTCCCACGCCCATAATAACATACATATACCTCCTTTGAAATATTGTGCACGGTTACGAGTTTATATTTATTTGTATGATGATTTCATCCTTGCTCGCCTACTAGAATGAAAATGACAGGAGATCAAGATCTGCCGCCTCGCTGGGGCCCAAGAGTTGTGAAATGAGTTTGTGAGGGTCACAGAGGCCCGACGGCCTTGGCACTGAACCCCAATGGTACCACTGAGTGGTGAACAGAAAGATGAAGCTCAGTCTTACCCAAGAGTTTGGATTAAAATGACAGGGCACATAAAAAGGAGTGGCGTAGTTTGCATGCAGGTTGCTTTAAATCTAAACCTTCTGCCCTTAACCGTTACCCTTGGCTGAGTCCTGAGAAGCCAAGTGTACTTGCTCAAGATGGCAAGCTTGTTTGGAAACGAGCCTAACACACCTCTCAGTTGGCTTTTGTTGACCATCAAAGTGCATGGGTTTATGGGAACTTTCTACCATTTGTCTTCATATATTTCTTTAGCCTTAAGGAGGGCCACCATTATGGTTTTGTAGAAGGGTCTTCTGTTTCACAGCAGAAGTTGGATATGGAAGCACACATCAATAATGCCAACTAATCAAGGGTAGAGAATTAAGAGAGTTGTGGTTCAAGCTTCTCTCGGGCAAGAGTTAATGAGACTCTGTCTCAGAAACCAAGTTAAATTGCTGCAGTGCTTACCTGTCATATACAGGGCCATTGGTTAGATCCCCAGTGCCATACACAAAGTTTAATATCAGAACCTCTACACAAGCAGGGTTTTTTTTGCTCTTGCATCTCTCTCTCTCTCTCTCTCCCCCCCCTCTCTCACACACACATGCACCTTTCTCATTGCAAAGTGCTGTGAGCACTTGTGACAAAGCCTGCCTCACTCTGGTCAGCCCTAGGGAGGTGATGGTAGGCTGCGAGGGATGGAATGTGGCTATGATGTTTGGAAGTAATGTCTGCATTTCTCAGCAGCCAAGACCAGGGACCAGGTTTTCCTTTGAGAAATCAGTTCCCCGACCCTACCCCCAGGTGCATGTATCTTAGCTCATGTCATATTATTTTCTCCAAAGCACCTACTACTTTGTCACAGTCCCCTGTAGACTGTTTTGTCTTGCAATGGCATTATTCATGGCTTGGTTCTTCTAGCTCATCATAGTCTTTTGACTTTTTTTTAACAAATGGTGTATGAGGAGTCTCAGGAAGAAATCGTCCTCAAATTGGGAAGCCAGCGCCATGGCAAGAGACTGAACATTTTGGAATCTTGAGCTTGCTATAGATCTGTGTGATTTCTTGGGCCTTCTGTCCCATAAGTCCTCTGGCCTGTAGCTATTTTGCGTGTGTGCCAGTACCAAGGTATTTTCATCACTATAGCTCTATAGTAGAGTTTGAAGTTTAATATTGTTATACCTCCAGTGTTACTTTGCCTGCTAAGGATTCCATTTGCTGTTCGGGATCTTTTGTGGTTCCTTGTGAAGTTTTGGATTGCTTTCTCTATCTCATTGGAGAATGATGTTGGGGTTTTGATAGGTATCACATTGACTTTGTAGGTTGCTTTGGTCAGTATTGCCATTTTTGTGATATAGATTCTGCCAATCCAGGAGCCTGGAAGGTCTTTCCATTTCCTTATGTCTTTTTCACTTTCTTCCCTCAAATTTTAAAGAAGTTCCTACTGTAGACGTCCAACATATGCTCTTGACCCGGTGAACACCCTTGACTTTGCGTCTCTGATCTTCTTTGTTCATATATAAGGGGCTTTAATTCAGAATGGCTTTGGCTATAGTGAGTAGGCTGGCCTGGAACAATTTACTCTGTGACATCTAACACCTGCCACAGGGAGAGAAGAGTAACTAAAAGGCAGGAGTTACTGTGGAGACACATAGGGTCAAAGGGAGACAATCCCTGGCACCCAGTTAGCGTGGGGGAAGAGGAGAAAGGAGAGAAGTATATGGCAATTTTACAAATATTTACACCACATTGTATTGTACTGACCGGCAGAATCATGACATCAGTTGTAAAGTGGAACATTAAACCTTTTATTTTTTAAGACTACTTTCTTGTGTTTAAGAACTTCATCCAATAGTGAGAATGGGGGAATGAAGTTTTCTGGGCCTCCATTTATAACTGAATGTTTATCCATAAGGCATTTCCTCTCATAAGGCCTAATTTCATGCTTCATAATAGTTGCAGAGTTGTCTGGGGGACAATTTACACATTTGTAATTATTTCTATCCTCTATTTACAATTCTCCTTCAACTCTCTATACTTGATGTCTTTCCAGATACAAATTTAGGCTGAAAGTTGGCCTGATTTTCTTGTAGCAATGAAGGCTGGAGACCATCCAGAAAAGTGGGCAACCTATATCCCTATCACCTGCCCTCTTCAGCCTGCACAGCTCTGTACCTGACGACAGTCTACATTAACCTTAGGCCCTTTGTGACATTGGCAGCATACACGACGCTTCTCTGGTCCCATCCTCACAGAATGTGGTACATTTACTTCATGATTCACAAGGAGATGTTATTGTAGCTCATGGAGAAATTGTATTAAGTTTAATTTGCCAAAATTGAGTGCTCTACAAGACACTGAATCAAGCTGATTTCTTTTAGCTGGTAAACACATTTATTAAAACAAAAAAAGGTTAGTAACTTACTGTACCCTACCTGGGCTGATTCACATAAACCATGAAAATAACATTCTCATCATCTCTAGGACTCAGTGTTTTATTTTATTTCTGTTTGTTTGTACTATTCTGAGACCTGTGCCATGAGACTAATAGAACTATCAGACCTCTCAAATCTAACATCATAAAGCAATTTGTTCTGGAGTCATTTACTTTGTGAGAGAAAACATATACTTCACCCTTTGCTGTAAAATCGGGGTATTATCTAGCACTTTGTCATGGCTGAGAGTTTTCTATCTAGTGCACAATGATGGGTAAATTTAAAAGAATCATTCCTTAGGATGATTTATGTTTTATCTTTTGGCAGTTCTGGTAATTGAACTCAAGGCCTCATGTGTGCAAGGCAGGTGCTTTACCACTTGCGCCATACATCTAAGCCCTTTTCTGCCTTGTTTATTTTCCAGTTAAGTATCTAACTTTAAGCCCAGGCTAATTTGAGCTTTGATCCTACTTACAATTACTTGTGCTGCTATGGATGACAGGTGTGTACCACCATTCTCAGCCATTATGCTTTCCCTTGTAGCTAAGATTACAGGTATATACCACCATGCCCAGCCACTGTTTGAGATGGAGTTTCCCCGTCTTTCATGTCTGGACTGATTTTGAACTATTATCTCCACACTTAAGGATCTAAGATTACAGGATTGTGTCACCTCATCTGTCAGAATTTTTTTTCTTTTAAGGTAAATATTGCCCTGTATTTTTTCCCCTCTCATGGATTCTTGGGTTTATTTATGGGGTAAACAGCTATCCTTATGTATTTTTGCAACTCTCATAACTCTGGGAACATTTAGTCTCTTTGTGTGACTTCTCTGTAAGGGAATTTCTCCATCTTCAAATAGGATGACTCAATTACTAACCCACAGGTCATTAATGATTATGGCTCCATTAAAAGCACAGTACTGGATGTGGTGACAAAATACATGAATAGTTTTATCATCTTTTGTAATTTTTTCTCCATGTACTGATGGAGTAAACAGGAGAACTGCAGTTTGCTGAAGAAATGCATTCGAGAATAATTTCCCTCAATGGGTTGGTAGTGGCATTGTGTTAGTTGTGAAATTACAAATTTTATATGTATTTGATGTATATGATGAATAGAGATGTGATGGCCAAGAACCCCAAGGCTTCTACTTCTAGAGTAAACTCAACCTCGGCTCCCTCAGGGCCAAGCAGTGGTTAGAATGCCCATTTTCTCATCAGTAAAATGAAGATAGAACCATCAAGGGAAGACAACTTCCCTTGATATACAGTAACTCTGATCAACCTTAATGGGTATGTTATTATTATTCTGTCATGAGGCTTGAACTCAGGACCTGGGCACTGTCCCTGAGCTATTTTGATTAAGGCTACTGCTTTCCCACTTTAAGCTACATTGCCACTTCCAGTTTTCCCATTAATTAGAGATTAAGAATCTCATGGACTTTCCTGCCTGGGCTAGCTTTGAACTGCAATCGTCAGATCTCAGTCTCCTAAGTAGTTAGAATTACAGGCATGAGCCACTAGTGCCCTGCTAATGTACAGAATTATGAGCAGATTAGAAACCTTTCTGAGCAATGCCATGGCTTGGCTGTGGATTACTACTTCAGACAAGATTGTGGAAGTGACCTGGAGGTCTGGGTAGGGCGAAGCTGTGTTGTTTATGAGCCTCATTTACATTATCAAAACTTCCTTCCTTGTTGCTGCATGGCAGATCACTGTTTATTGTAAAAATTGATCTGTCTTTCCATTACTTTCCCACCAATTGTTGATATATTGGCCAATAAAAATAGTATCTTCTGAATGTCACATAAAATCTCATTCTCTTTCAGCAACCACCCGTAGAGCTGTAGGGAATGAGTACTGTAATGTTTGCCCAGTGCTTAGTACAGCCCCTGAGTTAACCATCTAATAAACAGGAGCTGCTGTTTAATTATTGTTGTTCAGCTACAGTTGCAATTGCACAGGACTAAAATCAGTGCATGACTGGCCTTATAAGAAATCCAAACGTTTTGTAGACATGGATGATTCATACTAACCACTTCCTTGACAGGCTGTCCAAGGAATGGCATTCATCTTCACCTCAAATGGAAGGTCTGAAAGCGTAGATGGAACTTAGCATAAATGATACACTGCTGTGTGGGAGATGTCAACCACAGAGATGGCACCGGTTTGGCATCCAGCTGACTTTGCTTTTCACAGCATCGCAGGCCTCCATTATGTATCAAGTTTCAGTTGGATGTGTATCTTTGTCAGTCATTTTCTCTAGTAAGTCATGGTAGACCCTAGATCTGCCCATCAGCCTTGGACCACAGCAGCTTATCTTCTGTGAGAGGCAGAAAACGAATGTGTTAACACTTCTGGCTTGAATTCATGTATTGACTCAATTTCTGAGCAAGATTGTAGCTGCTGTGCCAGATTAGGAGACAGGAAACCTGCATTTTAGTAAGCCAGATGCTGGTAGCTCCTAGCTACTCAGAAGGCTGAGATCTGAGGATCCTGGTTTGAAGTCAGCCCAGGCAGGAAAGTTTGTGAGACCTGTATCGCCAATTAATCACTAGAAAACCAGAAGTGGCACTGGGGTTCCAAGTGATACAATGTTAACTCTGAGCAAAAAAGCTCAGGGACAGCTCCCAGGCCCTGAGTTCAAGTCCCATTCCAACCAAAAAAAGAAAAAAAGATGTAATAGAAGGCTTATTGCTGGAGGGACCTCTATCAGTAATGATAATAATAATAATAAGATAATAAGCTGGCTTTTTGAGTAGATAAGGCAATGCTCTATGCTAAGTGATTTTCATATATTATAACTTATTTAAGTCTTACCCTAGCCCTGAAAAGTACATAATGTTTTATTCATCTTAATATGTTCCAGGTATATGCCCAATAGTTGTATATATATCCCTGGTGATAGCGTTGGAGAGCTTAAGTGGCTTGTTCAGCCTTCAGTAGATACTGAGTAGCAGAGCAGAGTGATGAATCCAAGAGTTCCCAGCACCCAGACACGACTCTTAGTGTTGCACGGCTCGTGGGCTGCGGTTGAGGTGAACTGCACAGAACAGGCTCCAGGTTGGACGAGTTGATGGGTGTGGTTCCTGTAGGGTTGGAATTCATTCTGCACTCTCCTGCTTGCTGTGTGTGGACCTGCTTGGCCTCTGGGGTCCATCCAGCCCCCATCTGGTCAGGAGAATCTGCTCTTCCTGTGGTCTGTTCAGTCTCCAAGGTGAGCCTCTTGAATGGAGCTTCCCCCCACCCCAATTTTCAGTTTTATTATGAGTTGTGAGCAGAGTCTGATATAACAAGGATGATTTTTCTCAATTGCTAATTGGGGAAATCAGTTTTGCCAATAACCTGCCTCATTCTTGTCTAAGGATAGCTCTGAGTCAGATTGTTGATTAAAGTCATCAAGAATCCTGTGATGTACGTAAGTGAAACTGACAGACAGAAAATGGACAAGTGTAGTTTCATGTTTCCTGTGGCCTCACCTGACTGTCTGTGGGGTTAATGATTTTAGAAGATGAGTAACTTCCAATTAAAAATAATCTTTATTATTCTTGGGGAAGCTTGTGGTCAGTATGTTATAGTATTCATCATGGGCTGCTATTGTGTGGTTAAAAAGCTTCCAGTTTGTCCAAAACTCTATTGTACTCAATTCACATGCTCACCTTTAGACATTAGCCTTGTTTGAACAAGTATTTTCAGCATTAAAAATACGTAGTTCAGTATTTAGTCGAGCTGAAATTAATATTTTACTTTATATGTAACACTGCATATTACTGAGTTAGATAAGTGAGTCTGCTCAGTCATTGCACGTGCTGTAACTTCTCTCTTTGAGAACACAACACTTTCTTCAGCGTTGTCTCAATGCAGAAAAACCATTTATATATGTATTAAGACTTAAAGTGCATAGTATTGAGCTGTTGTGTTTTTCCTGTTGGGATTTGGACGTAGGACTTTACACTTAGTAGGAAGCCATGCCAGCACTTGAGCCCCTTCTCCAGCCTTTTTTATTATCAATGTTGTGGTTATTATTAGTAGTATCATTATTTTGGAACTATCAGATTTTGAACTCAGGACCTCACCCTTGCTAGCAAACTACTCTACCAGCACTTTTTGTTTTGTTGGTTGTGGAGCTGTCTCTGAGCCTTTTGCTCAAGGCTAGTGCTCTGCCACTTTGAGCCACAGCTCCATTTCCATGATCCTCAGATGTCAGCCTCCTGAGTAGCTTATAGGCATGAACCTTTGGTGCCTGGCTTCTCTAGCCCTTTTCATGTTGGTTATATTTTTGAGCTAGAATGTTGCTTTATGCTAGGACTAGCTTTGATTATGATCTTCCAATTTGTATTTCCCTCGTATGCCCATTTGATATAACAGGTGTGCACTACCAAATCCAAGCATTAAGATGAAGTCTTATGAACCTTTTTTTTTTTTTTTTGGCCTGGGCTGACATGAACCATGATCCCTCAACTGCTATCTCTAAAGTAGCTATGATACAGGGAAGAGTACAAGGAGGGAAGCATTTATTCAGCCAATAGTAATTGGATAGCAGATAGTAATTGGATCTAACTCTCAGAAAGTTTTAAGTCCAGTGTGGAAGCAGACAGCAATAAAATTGAAAAATAGAAGAGATAATTTTGGAAAGTTCTAAGCAGTAAGAGCCACAGTTTCAGTGAAAGACTTTCAGGGACACAGGCCATTTTAGACAGCAAAGCAGCCAGCTTTTATTCCTTAGATGCTCCGTGAACAACAGCAATAGCCACCCACAAATATCGTGGCTCACAACAAGCATCTCTTCTTTTGTTTACATCTGCAGGTCAGCTCGACTTAGATAATTTAAGTTGGTCTTGGAGGAGCATCTTTGTCCTAAGCTGTGGCTCATCTGTGTTTATAAGTTGCAGGCTAAGATTTTTTCGACATCTGTTTATTTGGGGAAGCAGATTGAAAGGCCAGAAGCTACTGAGAATGTATGTTTTCATGACAGATCATTGGTGTGTGAAAGAGCCCAAGTTCACAAAGGTCTTTGTGTGCGTCATGCTTACTGATGTCTCATTGGACAAAGCATGTCACCTGGCTAATCTACATCATATTTGCTAATGTCTCATTGGTCAAAGCAAGTCACATAGCCAGCCTATGGAGCCATGTTTGCTAATGACTCATTGGCTAAATCTAGTCTCTTGGTCAAGCTCTCACCATCAGTAAGCTCTCATGGGACGGTGTATGGAAGTGGATATTTGATGCCAGTTAATTGTCAGTGAAGGCCTCTCTGATAGTTGGAACATGAATGCTACAGTGATCCAACCAAGCTAATATCTGGGTGGGGGATATTGAGGGAGTTACTTCAGGTAGAGAAAACATTAGCCTCTTAGACTTCTTATTGCAACTGTCAAATGCAACTGGTTAACTAAATTATAGACTATTGATTTCTTTTAACTTGTCTGTGAAAATAAACCCTAATATTCTTTCAAAAGATTGTGGCATGGATTTAAAAAGAAAAAACGAACAGCAACAACAAAAATCTCTAAGAAAAATTGAGTGAATCTGGGGGCCCTAATAAAATTCCCTATGCAGAAGAACCGTTATTACCATTAATATAACAGGACATGAAATTCAACATTTCTTCCAAGTAACCAGATTGCTATGTGCCAAAGCAGGTGCTAGACCATATGTAGTGTTTGAAAATGTCCAATAAAAATCAGTTGGATGACCATTAAGCTTCCCGTGGACATGGAGGATTAATTTAAAAGCAATAAAAACATGGTGTCATAAAGACTTCCTCAAATGTGCTGTGCTGAGATTTCCAGTTCCTTCCCCAACAGAGAGAGAGAGAGAGAGAGAGAGAGAGAAAGAGAGAGAGAGAGAGGAGAGGAGAGAGAGAGGGGGGAGAGGGAGGAGAGGGACAGAGAAAGAGAAGAGAAGAGGAGGGGAGGGGAGGGGAGAGGAGGGGAGGGGAGAGAGATCTCAGCTTAGATTCAGAGAGGCAGTCAAAGTGATGTTAAGAGTGTACCACCAGGGCTGGGAAGGTGGCTCAGTGGTAGAGCACTTGCCTTGCATGCATGAGGCCCTGGGTTTGATTCCTCGGCACCACATAAGCAAAAAGAAAAAAAAGCCGGAAGTGGTGCTGTGGCTCAAGTGGTAGAGTGCTAGCCTTGAGCTGAGGGACAGCGCCCAGGCCCAGAGTTCAGGCCCCACAACAGGACAAGAAAAAAAAAAAAAAAAAAGAGTGCCCCACCAGGGACAGAGATTGTGAGTGTAGACCCCTACCTGTGAAAACTCAAGTGGCCTGTAGAGGTAGGGACTGCTTCTGGGCATGCGTAACCTCCTGTTTTATAGACAGAAAAGCCCAGAAGCCCTGGGTCTAGAAAGAACTTAGGATGTGTCTGTTGAGTTTAGACAATACATAAAGGGATTCTTCCCAGGAGCAATAGGCAGCACACGTACCGGGGTGAGGAGATCCTTGTTGGAAGGGTATGAGAGGGGCTCCTAGGGGCGTGAGCTGTGGGAACCATGATCTGCCAGTTGAAGTGAAACAGCAGTACAGCTAGCTAGCAGGGAGAACTCAGCGCTGTGTCCCTGAGAGATGGCATGAAAACCCCACTAGTCACATGAACATGAGGTCATAGGGTGACTGGACCACATGAGAGCTTTCTACCTTCTTCCCTCTTTGACCGTGGGTGTGGATAACATACACACCACAGCTACCAGGACGACAAGATCAACTCAGAGAATAGGCCAAAGCCAGTCAGGGAGTGGTACCTCCCACTTAGAATCCCAGCTACTTTGGAGGTCGAGATTGGGTGGTTGACAGTTCAAGACCAGCCAGGCTACACATTAGCCAATTTGTATGTCAAGAAATAAGGCAGATATAGATTCCAGCTATGTAGGAGAATCATGGTCCAATGCTGGTCTTGGGAAAAAGTAGGAGATCCTAGCTGAAAAATAACCAAAGCAGGAAAAAAAAAGTAGACAGACAGTAAAGACAGGAAGAGGCCACCACACCCCCACACCCTTCTGTCCATGGAATAAGTCTGTACCTGGTTGCTGAGTGAGCCTGTGTGACCAGACATTCTGAGTTCCGCCAATGCCTATATTGAGTAAGATTACAATGAAGCTTTCTTTTTTCTTCTTTTTTAGACAGTCGATTTCTAATATTTTCTCTAAAAAATACAAAGGAAATGATCTCCGTCAGTCAATACAACTTAGGGACGGAGGAGGAAAAGAATGGAATTCCTGAGCAAAGGGAAAGGGCACCCTCGTTTAGGTTATTCCATTCCCACACTTCCAAAGCAAGAACTCACTGAGACATACAGAACAAAGAGTGATAGCACAGGTACTGGAACTTAACAGAAGTATTTTAGCGGTCCTTAATTATCCTGTCCCAAGATGAATAAAATTTACTTCAAAGACAGTTGTAGCAGGAAGAGGACTAAATGTACCACACACAGCAGGAAAAATATGCCTCCGCAGAAGTAAACACTTAAAAGAATGAGACAGTAATCAGGCACCTACGGCTGCTGACACCCCTAGCTGGTCCCCAAATAGATAAGTGTGGAGTGTAGTAATACAGCAAGTATTTGAACAAGAAAAAAGAGGGTCATTTACCCATTCAAGATACAATAAAGCTTTTGTTGTTGTTGTTATTGTTCATGGACTTGAGCTCAAGGCCTGCACACTGTCCCTGAGCTCTTTTTACTCAAGGCTAGTACTCTTCCACTTGGAACCACAGTTCCACTTCTGAGTTTTGGGTGGTTAAATGGATATAAGAGCCTCACAGACTTTCCTTTCCCTGCCTGGCTTTGAACCATGATCCTCAGATCTCAGCCTCCTGAAGTAGCTAGGATTACAGGCGTGAGCTACCAGTGCCTGGCACAATAAAGCTCTCTAAGAGCAATCAGAAACAACCGGTGTCCAACTGTGGGTGCTTTGGTCAGACACACCACGACTGCTAGAAACCACACAACAAATGCCAGGAGCACTGGTAATTAAAAATTCATCTGTTTTACAGTGACTCCCTTTAAATTTTGTCCAGTCTACCCATTACCTTCACATTCATTAGAAGATGGTGATTGAAGTGTTGTGGAAAGGTGTTTTATTGATACTACCTCACAGACAAGAAATCTGTAAGGTACTTATTGGTTTCATCATTGTGGGTGAATTGAAACTAGACAAGGGTTAGGTGATGGTTGAGGGCTTCAGACAGTAGTATATGGTGGATCTGACTCCTGGGGTCTGTACTCTTAATGGATCTGATTGGCTCCATCCCCCTTTGCTTCCCTCCCTGGTCTCCAGGCCCAGCAAGCTCTACTTCTCTCTACTTGGTTTTCAGTCTGTCCCCACCCAGATCACTCTACTGATAGGTTTCTGTTATGGGCAAATGCTGAGAATTGTGTCGACTGCATCCGAATGTGGCTGGCAGGTTCTTCTGTCCCTAACTCAGCAGAGGAACGCTACAAACAGGTCAGCACCTCTCAGATGAGCTTTCCACAGGCTTGCATCTCCTGTGGGGATTTCCACTGTGGGGACTCCTGACTGGGGTGCACCCTCCATGCAGCAGCTCCCCTCGGTTCCATTCTGCTCCTGTACAGACAGAAATCTTGCGTCTATCTTCCTGTCACCCAGCAGATTGGGCTGTATTGGCAAGAGGCACCTTGTTAAAATGAAGCCTTGTCTCTGGTATCATAGATAACATGAGACAAACCCCACTTTCTGCTTCCTGACATTCCGCTTTGCTGGTGATAAGGTTCCGGGGAGAGGTCTCGCTAGGTTTAGCCTGATTTTGAATCATCTTTTTCAGGAAGAGCAGTGTGTGGAAGATCATTTCTATTAAGGGAAGAGGTGGGAGGATTTTTTTTTTCTTTAATTGGGCAGAAGTATGGTGGAGAAAGTGGGATTTGAAAATGAACACAAGGAAAACACATCCGGTCTGGGTCTGTGGCAAGTAACTTCTGTGAGCTCAGTTCCTACTTTAGCTCTTTCCTCCTACTTTTCCTCAGTTCCTAATCCTCTTTCCACCCAACTGTCCGCCTCTCAGCTCTTTTTGTCACCATTCGAGCTGTTTCTCTGTACCACTTGCATCTGACTTAATCCATATTTCCTTTAACTGGTTGCTGTTTATTCTGAGAATATCTGAAAATCGTGTATTGGATGTATCTGTCATATATATAATTTGTCATGTAAAATGTGTATGGAGAGAATTCTATGTGTGTGAAATAAAACACATATTTGGGAAAACAGGTGTTTGGTACTTTTGGAAGTAACATCTAATAATTTCTTCCTAAGTTCCATTTATATTTTAAATTTTATTATTTATTTAGCCAGTACTTGTAGCTTGAATTTAGGGCCTGAATGCTGTCCCTTAGTGTTTTTTTTCCATTCCAGGCTGGTGTTCTACCATGTGAACCACAGCTCCACTTCCAGTTTTTTTGCTGGTTAATTGAAGATAAGGGTCTGTATACTTGATGTGTGAGGTGTGAAAATAAAAACAAGAGTGGACAGTTCAGACCATTAGGTCTTAGTCCATCACCCTCAGACCTAGGCAAACCCCAAGGAGACAAATGAATGAATATTTCACCACTGAGAAACCTGGAGGAAAAGGACTTGATGCTGAGAGTAGAGGGATGATTATGATTACAGGGTGGGCCGAGGAATGGCATCTGACTGATAAATGGCCTTGATGGGGGACCCTCAGAGCTCAACGGAGCCAGCCATGGTGGGGGCGGGGGAAGAGCATTCCAGGCAGATGGAATATGATGTGCATGCATATTCAGAGGCCCAGAAGCAAAAAATAAGCTTAGTATACAGGGATCTGAAAGAGTAGCTTGGTTAGGGAAAGGCGGTGGAGGGGGAGGGTAGCACAAGATGGTGTTGAAGAAGTTGTGACTTCAAAAGTTAAGCTTTCAAGTAAAAAAAGTTTTTTTTTCAAGTGCATTTCATAGTATTGGAAGGTTGTAGCAGTGAGATGAGAATGTAAATCCAGTTTTTAAAAATCCTTTTTGGGCCAGATGCCAGTGGCTCACGCCTGTAATCCTAGCTACTGAGGAGGCTGAAATCAGAGGATTCGTGGTTTGAAGCCAGCTCAGGCAGGAAAATCCTCAAGACTCTTTATCTCCAATTAATCACAGAAAATGCCACAAGGGGTACTGTGTCTTAAAGTGGTAGAGCACTAGCCTGGAGCAAAAGAGCTGAGGGATAGCGTGCAGGTATGTATGTCCTTTGACTCAAAACAATAAAAATTCTTTTTGGCATTTTTCTCTGTCACAAAATACTGCACACAGTTGTTGCTTAGTAAGTACTTACTACTTTGTTAAGTGCCATCCTCAATAAATACTTGTTGCCTTGAATTCTGTGCCCAACTGCCTTGTTGAGTGCTGCATTCACTAAGTACTGATTGCTTTGCTGAATGCTGTGCTCAGTAACAGTAAGTAGTGTGTAAGTACTGTTCAGCTTTGTGGGATGCTGTGCTCAGTAAGTACTTGTTACCTTGTCGAGTATTGTGGCTGTGATTAATATAGAATTACCTACCTTGTGTAAGGGATGAACTTAATCCTCTTCATATAATTTTATCCAGGAAGCTAGAAAAATTTATAAAAAGGCAGCTTTCCTGGTCATCTCCTTTATTTTCAGTTCATGAGTCACACACTGAGGGCTAGCTCTGGTTTTGTTTCAGCTGAGAAGTACTATGGATATTTGAATTTCCATTGAAATCTCATTGAGAGATTTTCAGGGTTTTTTTTGGTACCAAAAGAAGTTAGAATCTAAAACATGCTAGCACTTTTGTAACCTAAACAAGAAAATACACATGGTAGTGACTGAGAGCAAAAAATGGACACTGGACATTTATAAATGAAAAAACCAAGATGGAGAAAATCAAGGTATCAAGGTATTCAGGTAACAGTTTCATTTCCTGGGCTCATGCGCAGGCAGGAAGCAGGAAAGGCAGTTACACGACCAGAGCATAGAATGTAGATGGACAGGTTGATCATGAAAAGAAAAGGTTGTGTGGTGATCATATTAGCTGTGTCTTCACCCATTGTCTGCATTAAAAATTGCAACATGCATATGGACATTTGAGTCTTAAAATGCTTGATGGAATTTGGACTGGTGTGTGTGTGTGTGTGTGTGTGTGTGTGTGTGTGTGTGTGTGTGTGTGTGTGTGTGTGTGTGTGTTACTGAGGAGTTTTTGAACTCAAGGCATTGTGTTTGCTAGTTAGGTGCTTTTTTGTACTATTTTGAGACAAAGTCTCATTTCTTGCCTAGGCACAGATCTGTACCTTGAGGCTCCTATTTTGTACTTGCCACAGTGGCTGAGATGATAGTTCTATCCTACCATCCTGCCCAGCTTTGCCTAGTCTTGTGAACTTTTTGCCAGAACTAGGCTTGAATAGCGATCCTCCTGATCTCTACCTCCTGCGTAGCTACTATTACAAGGGTGAGCTCCTGGTGCCTGGCTGTTCTGAGCTTTTTATAGCTATACCTTCCCTCTGCCTCTGTCATTTCCAGTTTGGAATTCATGTCCCCTTGGAGTTAACACGTGCGAATAGACATGAAGAGGGACATTTCTTCAAACCCTGGGAGCCTGGGTTTTTAACTTGGCTTAGAATCTTGGGTCAACTGAAGATATTGTTCTTTTTGTAAGGCTCACCAGTGAGCTCTTTTCCAGGATTGTTGTGAAAAAGCTCTTCACAGTTCTCAAGCTGTTGTTCCCCTTCTGGAAGTGAACTATGAATTGGAGGTCAGCCTGGAGTACTTCACAAGCATTCTTTCCAAGTAGGAATGAGAGCCAGAACACATGAATGGAGGGACCTCTTCATTTCTGCTGCAGACCAATCACCACAAACTTACTTCTGTAAACACACATTTACTCTCTTACTAAAAGTCAGAAGTCCAAAATCTGGTTCTCATGCCTAAAATCAATGTGTCCGCTGGGGTGTTTCCTCCTGGACTCTGAAATCCTTTCCTTTGCCTTTTTCCAGCCTCTCCTGTCTAGCATCCGGCCTGTGTCTCAGGGCTTACCTCCTTTCCTACATTGTCGAGGTCAGTCCAATCTCTGCTTCGTTCGCCATGCCGTCCTCTGGCTCTCTTCCTCTGATAAAGACTCCCTCGAGCACCAGGCTCCTGGAAATCTGGCTCCCTCTCCCAACATCCTTGACACTTCTGATTTTTTGCTGTGTAACGGAGGAGCATTTACAGCTTCCAGGAGGTGAGGTCAGGACGTTTCGGGAATCCATTACTCAGCTTATCACAGTTCTGCAGCAGCTTGTGAAGTGTAAGCTTTGATGATTACCATTCTGGTACCTTCTTGAATATGTCTGTGCCACGCACATCCCTGTGGTTGGTGGTTTGTGCTCATTTCCCCCATCCCCAAATTTGCATGAGGATGATTTTTGAATTTCACCTGTAGAAGCATGTAAATAGGGAATTCTGTTCTATGCTTATTGTTAGGGATCCT